GTGTACCTGAAAGATTTATATCTAAATGTATGTGTCTTTCAAACTCTGATCAAAATAATCAAGCAGTTATTTTTTTTCTGTTAAGCAACTTTAATAAGATTTATAACATTAAACATAGCCAGAAAAATGTCACTAACCAGACATATAATTCTTACTTTTAATCCTGTATATTTATTATCCAGATGATAAACAAATACTTTTTTAACAATAGTTTTTCTCACCGGTTAAATTAAATGAATGGTTTATAACTTTTATTTATTTATTTTTTATAATTTCTAGTGTTTAAATTATATAAATTTTTGAAATTTTATAATATTTTACTATTTATATTTACATTTCATTAAAAGATTCTCAAATTATAAAATTAAAAAAGATTAAAATATATTACTAAAAACTAATCAAAGTCTATCTTATAAAATTAAACAAAGTGATATTTATTAAGATCATTAACTCATATTGGTTTTAATTATACAGTTCATTAATTGACTGTAATGTAAACGTTTAGTAAATGCGATTTTCTACACTTCTTTTTTTAGCTTTTCATACCAGAAATTTATCTAGAGATACATTAATTTAGCTTGTTCATATTTGTTTCCTAATAAACATATCAAATTTAATCTCTGGTATTAATAATGAAATTCATTTGAAAACAAAGGTAACATCTAGAGATTTGTAGAAATTTTTAAGTCTAAGTTACATCGATAATTAGTGAAATTCAATTACAGTTTATAAAAAATTAATTTAATTTTTTAATGATTTATAATAAATAATTCATAAATTCCTCTTGATTATAAATATTTAATAAACGTAAAAGAATTACTTGTTTCTTCGTATTTTCATCATTATGAAAATACAAAGAAACTCTCACATTTTTTTTTTCCAAATTGAAACTAGTTAATTCTATATACATAGGCCTATAATACATTATTAATTTTTTTATATTAATATTATAAAATAAAAATTACAAAATCCTGATATTGAGGAATGACATAACATAACATAAAAAATAAGTAAGAAATCGAACTTCAGTAGAAATTTAATTAAAGATAGCATTTGATTAAAAAGAAAGATCAGAAATTGATCAAATTAATTTTTTTCCTCTTTTAAAAAACTTTCACCTTTTTTATTTTATGTTTGTGATATTTTTCTTATTTTATTCAGAAACTATCTTATTTAATTTTAAAAATTTTCAGTCATATTTTATTTATAAACGAAATATTTTCTGTTGTATAGAGTTATGCAAAATTTATGGAACACAATGAAATTACTCAAATCAATCAATTGGACAATATTTAGGGGTGACTGGGAGAATCGAGGACACGAGATTCTGTTAGTCTGTATTACGAGACTCGTTAGATAAAACTTAGATCTTTTTATACGAATTGATACTCCAATCTGTTGGCCACTATTTGATATAAAAGATTAAAAACTAATTTCCTCCCTCCAAAAATAAAAAATAGACAACTATGATGCAGTATCTTTTATTCCCTATGTCACGAGGTAATCGTAGACAGTATCTGGAGCAACGAAAACAGCAAGAAATTGGCTAAAATTTTGCAGACAGAAAATAAATAAATGAAATGTAATTTATTTACATATATTCATTAGAAATTGAAATACAAAAAGGAAATGAACACCTCAAATATTAACTCACTACAATTTTAGGTTGCCATGGTCACGATTTGCTTTTGAACATGGCAACCTAAAACTGTAGAGAAATAAGTAAAACCGACTAAGAGCTAATTTCGGATACTATAAAGCGCACTTTCCCAAAATCTCCATGTTTGATTTTAATCAGCTTTTGGAAAGAGAGAAGTTGCGCTATTTAAATTTTGATACATAGTAAATAAATAGCACAAAGTATATTATTATGCACATTTAAAAAATATACCTAAAAGTCACGCGATACTTGTAATAAACACTGTACGAAATAGTAAAATCTGTCAAAAACGATAAATTTTCAGCCGTACAAAACATGGACGAAAATGCGAGCATAACAACATAAATCAATACTACGTGCTGATAGAAATCATGACGCAACATGACAATGCTGCCAACCTTTTATTTTTTAAAATATTTCATGTCCGGCCACACCATAACTCATAAATTTAAAAATTATTGTTGCAACCGCAGATAACGACGGATTTTAGGGAAAAAAAATTATTTACATAATAATTTAATTTCATTTTTTTAAAATCACTTTAAGCGAAATCATTTCCTTTTTTTTAAAATTTAAATTTAAATAATTATTCGTGCAAATTATGATATGTGACGTGTATTGTAACGAAAATTAATTAAATACGATGATAGTGACGTACAGTACAAACAGTAATATTTGAAACTAAAACAAATGTTAGACTTTCTTTCAACTGATATCAATTTGAAATCCTTGTATGATTATTTAATATTCAAGTTAGTTTAATTTGCTTTACGAACAAATGCACTATAATGTAAATACTAAATTCTACACAGTAATAATTATGTGAACACTGTACTTTTCTTAATTTAAATAAATTTGTATTCCTTTCTTTAAAATTTATCTTCACTTTACTTTTAAAGTATCTCACTTCGTCTTGAATTAATCTTTGATAATTTAAATTCTGCCAGCTTCTCGATAACTCGTTAGCATCCAAGGTACAACAATTGATGAAAAACTATTCTCGCAATTTACCTCACAGAAAAGATTCTTTAGATTAAATGCCGGCTTCTACAGCTTTTTATCTTGTCAATTCTGCTACATTAAACATCCACGAAGAGATGTTGCTGGACTGTAAAAAAGGTTAAAGTTTTTATAATTTCTTTATAACCGAATGGTTTGAATTAATACGATAAATAATTAAAAAGTTAAATAAAAGAAAACCTACGAAAGTTTTCTTAATTAGATATAACTGTTGAAACAGATGTTCGGAAATTAGTCACCATAATACAGTTAAGGAAAAAATATACATAATTTGAGAGAAGAAATATTACATTATCAAATAAATAAAAATTAAAATGCTTAAAGTATTTTTATTAAATTTCTCTCATTTACGATAATTTTACGTAAAATAAAAGATTATTACAGTATATAAAAAAGTTAGATTGTCATGTAATTTTAATAGAAAATGTGATTATAAATCAATTCTATTTTCTGGGAATTAAATAATTCTAAAAAAGAAAATAATAATAATAATTGATTAACGGAAGATTATTAAATTTTTCGGTAATTTTATATATATATATATATATTATAGGACATAATAGAAATGAATAATTTATATAATTCGGTGTCCGAAGGAGAGATACAGCATATCAAATTAAGAATTTTATGAATGTAAAATAAATATTAGAAATTTCCATTAGCTCTTATGGATCATTAATTTCTGATAAAATTTCTTGTTAGAAGTTAAACAAAAAAAACATATTTATTATTGTTACAAAATATACGATTTTTACTCTTATTCAAATCGAGAAATATTTGAGATTTTAGAAGAAAACAATAATTTTTTGTAGGTCATTAGCCTTTTCCTTGACAAGAAATTTTAATGTCAACTTTCAATTGTCTTAAAAATTTCTTAAAATCTTAAACCTAATTTTAAAAAAAAATTATAAAAGTGTTCATAACTTAATTTTATAAATTTTAACACTTCTGAATTAGAAAAATAATTATTAAATAGCACTTTAAAATTACTAAAAGTATATGCAATTTTTTATTATCTTAATTTTTAAAAGTAAAAAGTACAAATCGAGAAAAGAATCCGTTTTGTAAACAAGGATTCCTATTCAGAAGATCACGTATTTCTTTTTACACGTGTAGATAAGAGAAGGAAAGAAATTGGCTGTTGGCCAAATGCGAGATTTGACGTTTGTCAACAATGATGACTGACAAAAATCTCTTAGCGATCAGGTTGGTTGGTAAAATAACCGTAGAATAAAAAAATATATATGCTATTACATCTTGGCATCTCATCTGCATACATACTTCATTTCATACATCATCCTTGTGTTACGCAAACATCCATGTTTTCCTGTTTCAATCTATCAACACGGATGAGAATTTCAATTATTCATTTACTTTCTCAATTTTAATATCTCACAAATAGCTTAAAAATGTACTTTTAAAGGTTTTCGAGCCATAAATTTTTTAAAATTTTCGTCTTCTTCTTCTTCTTCTTCTTCTTCTTCTTCTTCTTCTTTTATTAAGAAAACGATGAAATCAATCCGATTTTATTAATAATGTAGCAGATGTTATGGGTCAGTAGAGAAATCGGTTGACATTCTGGATAAGTTTAATAATAAGTAGCGAAATATGGACTGAATAGCAGAAAGCATTAAGGTTTCATTCGATGGATTGAGATCATTTCCTGTAGCACACTCGCTTTCATGACGTCTGTGTGTTTTCAAAGATAATCGATTTTTATGTAGTGCTTTATCATTTTAGTATATTATAGATATATCGAACAATCTCTGCACTAAAAGAAAAAATAAAGAAATTATAATTTAATTTAAGTTTATTAATAATTCATTTATTTTTATAAATTATAAAAAATGCAAGACAGTCTTATATTGCTGTTCCATTAGATTATGAACGCAAATCTTCAGTTTCCTACAATTGTATGTAAATGTCTACATTAGTTAGTTGAACTACTGAGAGGGATTCTTTCAGCACCAAATAGGCCTTAGTGTCTACTTTAATTTTGTCCTTATAGGCGTATTCGACTTGTAATCAACTCGATTAGCGCGAGTGATTGATGGGAAATGATNTTAAATAAAATGTATTCTAATCAAGTCAACCGAGTGATCTCAAGTTGGCATGTTACCAGGAGAGTCCGGAATCGATTCCCGTTGATTTCCATTATATGAAACCATCTGTTTCATTCCAATGTATCTAATATACCATAGTATAACCCGTATTATATTACTTCCAGTATCATTTTAAACATTGAAAGATTTTAGTAGTAATAATAATAATAATACTGTAATTTATTTTTCTAATTATATTAATATATATTGTTATTTAGTCTGAACAAATGCCGATGCCATATTTAGTAACAAGATATAACTAAGTCATCATCGAGTACTCTTCATTGATTTTTCTGAAAGTATTGACTGCTGTCATCGTTCAATAATCGAGAAACATCAGGTAAGAATGTCATGTTTTTTAAGTTATGGATCTATAAACAAGAATTTTAAAAGATAAATTAACACATAAAACTATTTTATCAAACTTTATATTTTTAGTTAAGGAATTAAATTAGAATTAATGCGAAAATGAAATCCGATCCAAGCAAACTTCTACAATTATGTGGTAAGAAATTTTTAACTATTTTGTAGATCATATTTATAAAAAAAATTTTTTGTGTGTAAATTACTTGTTTTATTATATAAATTACTATTACTAATAAGGTTATTAGTTCTATAATTTGAGATATTAAATAATTATTTTTAACTTTTTAGCAAAATTTCTATTTAAAAATTTTTAAAACTTATTACAAATTTAATTTTCTGCCACTATATTTACAGAAATATTTATGTAAATACTTAATATCTTAAAATAGTTTTATTACTTATTATTTTTTTAATATTTAGATTTTCCTTTCTTGTTTAAGACTTAATATTGATAAGTAACTTAGATTTTAAATTTTAATAATTTAAGTAACTTAAATTGTATACAAAAGTAACACAGAACTTAGAACTGGAAATGTAGATTATTGTTAATCAAAATCTAGAAAGAATGATAACTCGTTTCTATTAACATAATAGAAGTTCTTTTACCCTAGCAATTTAGTTAGTAGCTTCATCCAGTGTAGATGTAATTATGTTGTAGACGTGAAATTCCATCAAATCCAGATAGGTCATTCACCAAATAACACATACCAGTATCTGAAACTAATACAGTAAAATATTATAAATACGTACGCTTAATTTAAACATTATTAAATCAATAAAGTATTTTTTTATTGAAGCTTATATTTAAAAATTAATTAATTTTTTAACTTTATAGATAAACTATTGTATAACATATATTACGTAAATTTATTTTTATATATGGTATTTTACAACCTAATTTTTTCAAATATTATTATTACGTCTGATTATGTAGAACTGTTATGTATACAAAATTATATCGATAAAATTGGGCAAATTATAAAATTTATAGATAAGGGAAGAGTACTTGTTACGTACCTGAATAGGGAAATTATTGCAAATTATAGACTAGATTGAATAACATTTGCTTTCTGAAGGAAACGGATAGTCGGCGTGAGTGAAAACAGATGAGAAAATAATCGAGTTTGTTCGTGAAGTAAAGAAAACAAAATTTATATTTTGAATTGATGGAGCATTAAATAGAAATTATTTGAAAAATAAAAGTTAAAAATGTAATTGGGGTAATTTAGTATTTTTAACATAGAAAATTTTCGTCTAAAGATTGTTAAGGATTTGTTTTTGCGCTTAAAAATGTTAAACGTGAATGCGCTCACTGCTCGAATATTTTAATGTTGAGAACTGTTCGAACGCTCAATGATAAAAAAAAAACGATAAATTAATTATTTTCGAATTTACTAATTAATTGTATCATTAATGAAAAATATTCTTGAAATTCTTGTGTATTGGGCTGCAATTTGAAAAAATTGTAGACCTATAAATTCCCACTGTCGTTCCTTAATCTTGAACGGAATTAGATGAAATTCGAGACCAAATATGGAAACCTTACAGTCAGGACACCCCGATTAACTATATATGAACTTCCGATGTAAACTGGAAGTCACGTTATTTTAATTCAAAAGTTTTCCCCTGAAAGCAGTTAATAGATGGTCGGCATGACTCTATTGTTAAAGGAAAAGTATGATTTACAGGGGCCAGATACTACTAATTTGAAATGGAGACCATATATTTTAAATTAAAAATATGATTTAAAAATTATCTTTTATAAAGACTTTTATTTTCTAGAAAAAATAAGTATTATAATAAATATATTTTATTTTAGTTTTATAAATCTATATAATTCGCATTGAATTGTAAGAACAGTTTCGTGTCAGATATATAAATTTAAAGCTAGAATGCTAATTTATTTAATTTAAACTGTTCAGAGACATTCCGATAAAGATTGCATAGGTTTAAATATAATAATATTTGACAGATTAATTTTGAGAAGTAATAATAACAAATTGATTTTAAAAAATCGCTGTAAACGAGAAGAAAATTATCGTTTATATAACCTGTTTATCTATATGTATAAGAGATAGTGCTAAAATATAAAGTGATATTTTAATTTAATACTTATTTTTAAACGTAGCGTTATTTTAAAGACAAAATAAATCCAAATAAAACGATTTTTATAAGTAGTCATAAAAAATAACAAGTTCTAATGCTCATCAAAGGTGAATTGCAGTTGCTATTCTTTAGAAGAAAATTGCTATCGAACTATCCATTATGTAGCTATACAATTTAAACAACAGCTCTCTGACAATAGGGAATAATTTAGCAGCCATATTTTCACCTGTTAAATAATTTTAATGAAACATTTATGCATGCCTCTTTGTCGTGCCAAATGAAATATATTTTAAACCAAAAGATATCAAATTTTTTCCCCATTTTCAGTGGCAATTTATATTCAAATTGCTAGTATTTTCATTGTTTTCGCTCTTATAATAAAGCCTCATATCCCAGACTAATCAAGTAGGATAAAGGGCATGATGCCGATTGCAATATTTAGCATCTTCCTACGTAATCAGAACATATCAAATATAACAAGATCTACATTTTTGCTTTATTGCCTTCTATGCTAAGTTTTCTTCCTGTATAATTGTAAATACTAATGTTTTATAAATATTCTTCTTGATCCAAGAAACATTACATTACTTTTTATAACATTTTCTTCTAATAAAGAAAATGTTTTATAAAGATTTTTTACAATAGAAATTCTAATCATCTGACATATATATTAATATATTCTAGTTGTTTTTATATAAAATTAACAAATCTACACAGGATATTATAATTTAATTAATTTTAGAATAGTATTAATATTTTATTATCTTTAATATCAAGCATTTTATCAAATGTTTTCTGGCATAATTTTAGTGCATTAAATCTCTTGAATACATTATTTATGAATCGAAAACTTTAAAATTAGAATGTAATGAAACAAGCTAAACGTAACGTAATATTTAAAAAAATTCTTTAATAAACTATACCTTTATAACAAAGAATGTTATTTTTTTTTTGCCTATTTATTACAGAAACTTCAAAAGTTTCATCATCAATTGCATCATATGTTATAGATCAAATGTAAAACATTACTCGTCTTGATATATGTAGATCGTAGAACATTTTTTCTACTTGTATTACTGGATAATAAGCACTTTCACTCTGTCGTTAGTCCAGTTTACTCGCTGTCGATAATGTTTCCATGCGTGCTTTCTTTAGATATATTATGACAAGTTTCTTGAAAACACTACAGAAACAAAATAAGGGTAACAATAAAATAAAATTCTTTATTAATTGCCACTTTTATTTAACTGTTGATTCTATTTGCTGTTGTAATTACGAGCATTTTTCAAGAGATTTTTTTTTCGGTCTGCAAAGAAAATTGCCAGCATGAATAGGTTTTAGACCATTACGATGCAGCTATAACTAAACTTTTTTTTTATTTTAAAAAATTAAAAAAAATTAGTAACGTCTAGAAAAATATAATAATTAAAATTTTCGTATCATAGTCAATTGTTTACTTTCTTGGCTCTGTTATATATAACAGACGGAAAGTATGGCGATCGGTTAAAAAGTGGATCCCCAAGATTTGTACATTTATGAAGTTAGGACACCTTGAAATATACCTTGAAAACATTTCGGTTTTTTTTCCTATATGTATGGATGTTAGTGTGTTTGTGGAAAGCACAATTTTTCCACTTTGTAAAAAGCTTAATAACTCCTGTACTTTTTGTCGAAAATTTCTGAAATTTTGCAGGGAGATTTGTGTATTAGGAAGATTAATGCTATTAAATTTTGATGGTTAGAGGTCGAGGGAGTGAGGAGTGTGTCGTATCTCGAGTTGGGTCGGATTTAATGAGGATTTTCCTATTTGATGATAATTAATATCTTCAAAAATTTCGTAATGCTAAAATTAATGGGGTAAACATAAATTATCCATTAATACCTCCGAGTATTCATATTTAATATTTTTTTCTGTAAATATTTTCGTTTGAAATATTTAACTTTTTTTAAAATATATTGATAAATTAATTTTTTATGATGTTTCTTTTGTTTGAATTATAATTAATTTTATATTTTTAAAATAAAAATAAAAATTTACATATGATTGAACGATAAATTAATATATATGGCAATGTTTATTTCTATTAATTTTTCAATGCGTTGAACGGAATGATTAGAATATTGGAAATAAAAATAGAAAATAAAATCCATATTTTTTTATTTAATAAAAATATAAAATTGAGATTTATTAATAATGTTTTTTTTTTCATTTACAATTGGAAGAAATATATTTTGTTTTCCATCATTAAATTCAATCACTCATTCATCACAAATCTTACAATTTAGTTATTTAACCGTTTAAATTATATAGATTTAAATCAGTTTAAATGTAATTTAAATATTTTATACAGAAGACTTTTTCTCTTTATTAAATAATTGAAAATTTTGTCGTAGAATATTCGATTATAAAATAATTTTCTAAAAGGAATTATCACTGAGGATAATTTTTATGAGAGTAAATAATTACTTTACAAAATTGAATTAGCAGCTTTGTTGGAGATACGAAATTTGTTTAATGACTATTTGATAAATCACTTTGTAATAACAGAAGCTAATTAATGGATACACTTAAGACGCCTATTATAATGCCTGTAGAAATTTGAAGAAATATGATAATAACGGAATTAGAACAGATGATCCTCTACAAAATGAAATTATCTGAATAATGAAACTGGATACAACAACCACTAGCCAAGGATACTTGTTATTAAAGAGAATTATAAATTATTATAATGAAAAGTTTCCTTGTAGAATTTAAATTATTAAAAAATATTATAACAATTGTCCTTCTTAAAAATTTATCGTAAAATTAAAATAATGTTGTTTATAGTTTAAATTTAATTAATATTTTAAAAATTTATTTTAATGATAATTGAAAAGAATTTTATTTAAGTAATATAAATTAGATATTGTAGACATAAATTAAATTAAATGCTTATTTACTGAGACCAAAGACATTTATAGTTGTTTTGATGATATCCAGATAATGTTATTTTTAAATTTTTAACGCTTCTCTGTTTACCTTCAAAATTATGTTGGAAAGAAACATTTACAGGCGCAAAATGTATATACATTATTTTAGTATATTTGACGCTCTATGGAATTTTTATTTTTATTTTTTAATAGGAAGTTTGTTTGATGAAAGCACTGCTTATCTACAGAAAAAGGTTACTCAATATGTAAGTAAATTTAAGACAAGATTTTGTTTACATATAAAATGAAAATGTTTATATATAAAAAGCCTATCATAATTAAATTTTTATCTAAAAAAATTGTATTTTTCTTCACTTATTTTAAAAAATAGTTAATAGAAGAAACAGGAGCACAAACGGCATTTCTTTTATTTGTCTCTGATGATCAAGATGAACTTAGTTGTAAGGTAAATATAAATGTATTCCTCTATTTTATTTTTAAAAAGTTGTATTAGAATACGAATATTCAGTTTTATATTTATGGTTTGATAAGAATTTAAAAAATTGAATGTATTTAATATTAGTCAAATAACTTGAACTGGGCCGACGTTTTTATCGTATGATTTATATATCGTGGAGATTAGATATGCGGTTACTTGAACGTTATTTATAATCCTCATCATTCTTGATTACAACGGTTCATTGATAGCAATTTAATTATAAAAACGTTTTTAAGTTGCATATAAAAATGATTTAAATTTTACTATAAATTATATCAAAATATTTTAAAATGTTCTTGCTGTAAAAAAAGTATCTGTGCGTTTATAAGTTGAATTTATACGTATATACCACTTCATAATTTTTTTTTTTGTGATTGAAGATATATAATATGAATTATATTTAAATAATAATTAAATTTATTTAATATTATAATATATTTTTAATTGNTTAATTATTTGCCTTTTAATAATGGCGGGAATAGAACCTAATCCAGGTCCTCTTCCCCGTTCTCCACAAGAAGTAGGCCGTTTTGATATGCAAAAGATGGGGCGAGGTCGGCCTCGTAAAGATAATGCTAAAGAGCTAAACGCAGAATACCTAGAGGAAGAATTATTGTGTGGAGAGTTTTTGCAGTTAGAGCAAGAATCTACTGGATTCAACTCAGGAGCTTTGAAATCTTCGAAAATCTCGGAATACTTTGAACCTTCATCTTTTAAGGAACCTCAAGTAGAATCACACCCACAATATTCATTAAAATCAATTTATGATTTGATACAGGTCAATTTCTCTCAGTTAAATCACGATATCTAAGGCATTAAGAACGAACTACAACGTATGAAAGAAGAGAATAAAAGATATCAAGAAGAAATACATAATCTAACTCAAGAAATGAAAAAACTAGATGTATTAGTTACGCATAATAGCCGTATAAAAGGTACGTTAGAATTTGAAATAGATAAGTTGATTAATGAAAAAACAAAAAATAATAATATTATTATATAAAAGATATAAATAATAAAATATTTTTGTTATATATAGCTAAAAATATCTTAGACAGTAAAAAATAATATTGACTTCGTTATATAATCAAGAAAATTAGACAAAAAATGCATTAGATAGATGTAAGCATGAAGAAGAAATAAACTAGTCTATAATTAAAACTTCTAGCTTATTTCGGTAACATAAATATTATATAACAGATAAAGAAGATACAGATATTGTTATCGACTGTTTTATTTATATTACATCAATTTTAATAAAGTTTTTATATATTTAGTTTTAATTTTATATTGTTCTTATTTCTCATAAAGAGAAATCTCCACTATAAAAAATACAAATATATAATTAATCTAATTACATTTATTTATTTTTATTTAATTAATATAGATAATATCTTAACAATATCATTAAAAAATTATTTTAAAAAAATTCATTAAAACCAACTGGAAATAAAATGTAATCTCGAATAAAAAAAAATAAATTTAATTTAAAAACTATAAGATTAAACTTTCAGATAAAATATCTTGTTGTCTATTCGTCTTTATTTTCATAAATTGCTTTTTCTTTCTCTAAATAGCTTCAATTTCTAAAGTACTCATCACAAGAAGTGACTTCGTTGCATTAGTAATGATAATGCGCTTCATACTGGAGACAGTAATATGGAACTAATCTTGTAAATAGTACATACAATATAACAAACATATGATACTCTTGTAATAATCGAAGACGTAGATAACAATAAATATCGTTAGAAAAATATATAATATTCAGCCTTTGTTTATGAAACAATAAATAATAATAGTAAATTATACATTTAAATAGCAATAAAATTATTTTAAATTTTAATAATTTTTACAAAAATTACATTATTATAACTGTTATCTCTCTTTTTAGAATATTATAATTAAAATAATTTTAAATTATTACAGATTCAGAGCAATAGCTTCAGTACAGCTATCATCGAAAAAAGACCATTAACTTTGGAAGATATTAAAAATGTAAGTTAATATTTAACAAATTTAATGGTTTATATAATTTTTCTGTACTAAAAAACCCTTATTTAAATATAGGAACAATCCGAAATCATCAGTTCTATGATGGAAGATTCATTGCTCACTCTTCTTTGTGTTCCAGTGATACATCCTCACAACGAAGAGAAAGTTAGCATGTTAGCTTGTCTTGTTAACAAAGAGAAGTAGGTGATTTTTATCTTTCTTTACATCTAAATTTTAAAATTTACAATAAAATATTCTTCAGTTTTGATGAAGAAGATACAGATATTGTTATCGAGTGTTTTACTTATATTGCACCAATTTTAATAAAGTCTTTAGCCTTTGAAGAAGAAAAACGATTGAGAAAACAATGCCAGGTACATAAGAAAATATATTCATCTCGTCTGTATTGTAAATTAATTTATAATTCAACAGTTTATAATTTTATGTTTAGTCTCTCCTTACTGTGGCAAAAAATTTATTTACACATCTTGGTGAGTGTAATGTGTTTAACAATATCATAAGGTTAATTTTCTTGACATAATGAAACTTATATATATTGATATATTACTTTACAGATGATGTAACATTATTACTAAGGGAGATTATGACAGAAGCAAGAAATTTAACTAAAGCCGAAAGGTAATTATATAATTAATTGCATAATGATGATGATAATGATGATGATATACTATCATTAATTTGTTTACATGTTATAGATGTTCACTATTTCTGCTGGATAAAGAACAAAATGAATTAGTTGCAAAAGTTTTTGACGGTAGCGCAACTGAAGATGGAATAGACGTAAGAATTAAATTATATTTTTTTATTATTTACATAATATACTTTTTTTAAAATATTAAACTGTTTTTCTAGCATTCATTTGAAGTTCGAATTCCATGCAATGAGGGAATAGCCGGTTACGTTGCTACTTCTGGTTAGTATTTTTACTAATAAATTCGAATTTACCAACAGTCTCTAGTTAAAATCACATAAAACTTTTTAAAGAAAATATAAAATTTCTAAAGAAAGTAATAAAATTTACAAATTTTGAACACATAAAATACAATAGATGACAAAATAATCAATCGTTATCCATCATCTTTGTTTATCATGTGTTAAGTATATGTTGAACGTTCAAATGAAATCTAATCACATTTAACTTTTCTTTAAAAATTTTTATTGAATATGTATTACATTATGATAATAAACAGAAATTTGTTTACTATAATTTTATTATAGACTATATATATTAGTTTTTGATAGCGAAAGTAATTTTATCGAATTAAATAACTTCACTTTGATGTCAGTATGTACTGTACTGTACAGTACTCGTATGTCGCTTTCTTAAAACTATTCTAAGCTTCAAGCTTCCTTTTTAATTTATTAATTTGTATATAAATAAATAAAATACTTTGAAACTTAATTTATATACAGGAGAAACGACACGACTATTTTATGTAACAGCTAAAAATAAAAGAATAAATTGTAAAAAATGATATTTTATTTACATATTAAAGTAAGATAGATAAAAAAATTAACTTTATTTTCACATAAATACTCATTAGCATATAATAACAAAAATGTTATAATGTGTAAAAAAAATTCAGACGTACAGTACTTCCCGTATATTTCGTTGCTCTAAAGAAATGTTTCCCTCAGAATATGATACAGTATTACTAAATTACTAAATAAATTTAGTAATTTAAAATGTTTCATCTTTCTGACTCCGTATTAAAAGTAATTTCATTATTATATTGATTTTAATATTTTTCTACTGTTAGAAATTACACATTCTTTACTTTATTCCTGCGTTATTTTGGAAAAGTTTACTATACATATTTTATTTCGTTCTTCTTCTTGGTTTATAGACTAATTGAGCAGATTTTTTTGATAGTCTTCCGTCTGCAATTCTATTGTTTCCATTTCTACTGTATTTATAATCTGTTATAGATTATTAATTGAAAATAAGTTTATTTTTTTTTCTTATATTTTTGTCTTGTATCTGATTCAGTTTGTGTAGCCTTTAACATATAACAAAAGTAACATTTCAGTTGCTTGAACTCTGCTGATGTCTGTCAATAATGTTTCAGTACAGTTATCTTTCGCTTTCTTATTTTTTAAATCTAAAATTATTTTATAGAATCTTAAAATTATCTTTCAGGAGAAGTATTAAATATCCACGATGCCTATGCTCATCCATTATTCTATCGAAAAATGGACGAAACTACAGGTTTTAAAACGAGGTATAAAATTCTATTTTGATTGTTTATTTTTATATTGTCTAGACTACATCTGTCACAAGAAATCGCACATTATTGAAACATAAATTCCAATTTTTTTTTCTTTTTTACAGAAATATCCTTTGTTTTCCTATTAAAGATGATAGCGGTTTGTATTCTCAGTTTTATGTATTATTCAAAATTGTCTCGTCATAAATAAACTAAATAATTATAATATCAAATATTTCCATTATTTTTAGGTGTAATAGGAGTTGCCGAGTTATGCAACAAGATTAATGCCAGATATTTTTCATCTTTTGATGAAGAAATAGCTAAAGCTTTCTCCATATATTGTGGAATTAGTATAATGCACGTAAGTAATTTCTTTTTTTTTTTTTTTTTGTAATTCTCAAACATTATAAATAACAGATAGATTTCATTTATAAAATATTATTTATTAGTCTCTCATGTGGAAAAAAGTTCGAGATTCTCAACATAGAAGCCATCTTTCTAATGAATTAATGATGTATCATATGCAGGTAATGTTAAATAGATAATAAATTAAATCAAGTATACACACGAAAATGTTGTATAATTAGATTATTATTTTTTTATTATTTACAGGTTCCTATAGACGAAGTGATGAAATTTGCTCACAGTACAATACTTTCTCCTTCTTATTTCGGTGATGATTTTAATAAGTTTCATTTCTTACCAAGATCCATTACCGAAAATGAGACACATCTTGTAAGCGCAGATCATTATAAAAGTAAACAAATTTAATTAACAAAGTAAAAAAACCAAGAAATTCGTTCATTTCCAGGCTGTAATGACTATGTTCGATGACGTAGGTTTCATTTCTCGATGGAGAATCCCAATGGAACACCTCTCTAAGTATTGTTATTTTTAAGAATGATGAATTTTAATATAATTTAAAACGTTTCGAAAAAATAATACATAAATTTATATTTTGAAGATTTATCTTAATGGTAAGGAAAGGTTACAGAGATCCTCCATATCATAATTGGATGCATGCATTTTCTGTTGCACATTTTTGCTATTTATTATTCAAGAATTTTAAAATAATGGAAGAGTATCTTACGTAAGTTATTTGATTATTACATTTTATATATATTTAAATTTATTATCCGATTTATTACTTTAACTTTTGTTTATAAAATTACTGTAAACCTCAAACTTTCCTCTCGACTTAGTCTATTGCATTTTCTTCAGAGATCTGGAGTGCTTTTCTCTCTTTGTCGCTTGTCTCTGCCATGATTTAGATCATCGAGGAACTAACAATTCCTTCCAAGTAACATCAGTACGTTATCATATCCTATGTTTATTTCAACTTTCTGATTTAACACATTAATTTTATTGTAACCATTAACTTTTCAATTAATACCTTTTCATTATTTAAATAATTAATTTAAATTATATCTTTAATTAAGGGATTGATAAGAAAGAATATTTTCTTATTACTTAGAAATATATTATTATTTTTCCATTTAGAAGATGAGATAAACATTTTATATATTTTTCTGTGATTAAAGGAAATTTATTTCCCTTTTAGAATAACAAGAAAATAGGAAATGTGCTAAATATAAAATTCTCTTCTTACATTTTGTTTATCTTTTCTTATCAATTACTAAAATTAAAATGTATAATTCATTTTCTATTCGACTATATTTTGTAATGGCTTTATTAAGGATATTTATTCATTGCAGAAATCAGATTTGGCAGCTTTATATAGTTCCGAAGGTTCTGTCATGGAGGTAAAATATTTAATTTAATATTTCTGTTTGTTGTGTAGTGAAGTTTTGTAGTATAAACATTTTTGTTTTAAAAATAATTGACAGATAAAATAACGATAACATTTATTCATAAATAATTTCTATTTATTCAGTTTCTATTAAAAAAAATAAGAATAAACAAAAATAAATAACAAAGTATTTTTATTTTGAGTTGTAACTTTTAATCTTGTTAATGGAAACGACTTTAATATTAAATATACTGTCTAATGAATAATTTAAAAGTTTATGTATATATATTTGGAAATTAAAATATCAATGACAATCAATCACTTTATCAGATGTACAAATATTTAAATAAATTTAATGGACGTGTATTCTATCTCTTCACTTTTTAATGGTTTATTATATAAATATAAATCATAAAATATTAAGTAAACAGTGTACTCATTATTTGATTTATTATAAACAATTTTTCTTGTACATGTTCTTTGTACATTTTTAATTTTTTTTTTAATTATAACTATATTAGTTCTATGCAAAAATCTTAACTTTAATTAATTAATTTTCGTTTCGAATTCAATAAAAATGAAAATATATACAGTATATACTAAAATTATAAAAATGTTATCTACAGGGAGATCATAATTAAAATTAAGTGTTCAAACATCTGCAAAAACAACTATTGAGCAAATCTCAATCAAATTTAGTATACGTACTGTCTTGAATTTAGTTTAGATTTTAGAAGAAAAAATTTTACTTCAAAATTCAGTCGCAAGATCGAAATTTAGCGCTGACGTTCCCTTAATGTACACATTACGTACTGTACGTTTTTTAACGAATTTCGGAGTTACGTAACAAAGTGCATTGTTTTATTTCAATTGCAGATGTGGAATGAAAAATTGACGATTATATTAAACCACCGGTACGGCTGACCACCGGTGACCAAGTGGATAATGCCACTGAACAGACCGCAGGTTCGAACCTTAGCCGCACAAAGTTTTTTGGATTTAATTCACGTGTCTAACTTACATTACACTTAAATAGGAACTAGTTTCCCGTAGGAAGTTCTCCCGGGAAGCATTCCTCATTGGCAGATGCCCCATTTAGCAGATGGCCGTTACCTTATCCCATTAATCCAATCCAATGTGCTCTTCATATCTCCATACACTAAAAACTGCATTCGCTGCATAACACATTGGACAGCGAAACGTGTATAGTTGTCGCACGTGTGAAATTCTGTCTTTTAAGACAGCTAGATTGGGACTACCCAGAGAACCTGTATCTAAACGAGCTCTGTAGGTAGTCCAATAATAAAAAATCACAACCAAAAACGCTTCAAAACTTTTTTTATAGCCGAAATTCATTAGAAAACGTACGTAATATGAACATTAATGGGACAACAACGCCAAATTCTCCCTAGCGGCTAAATTTTGAAGCAACCTTTTTTCTCCAAAATCGAAACCGCATACTCAGTATGTTATATATATATATATATATTATGTTTAGCTTTTTTATCTTAAAAATTACTTTATTTTTATCGCATATTTTGACTTTATGTAATATTATATTTTTAGAGGCATCATTTCGCTCAAGCTATGGCTATTCTTAATACCGAGGGATGCAACATATTCGAAAGTTTTAGTAGAATGGTAAATATATTAATTAATAAAATAAAATATCTTAATGTTATTTTAATAAAATCTATAAGTAAAATATAAATATTTCTATCCTATACGCTTCTACTACGTTATGTATAAAATATTATATTTCATTTATAAATAAATTATTACTTTCTCGGCTTATAAAGTATAAATGTGTGTGTGGGGGAGTCAAGATTTTGTTCACCTTCTTTGAAGCTTAATAACTCCTGTGCCTTTAGTCAAAAATTTCTGAAATTTGGCAGGGAGGTTTGTGTATTAGGGAAATTAATGCTNAACAAACATGCATTCATGCATATCTTGACTTTTATAGGAAAGCACGGCAGGTGATAAAGTTCCATTTATTATTAAAAGAATGATTTTTAAAATAAAAAAAACTAAATAAATATTTGTAAAATTTAAAAAAAAAACTTTTTATAACAGATGGTACCACTACAATTTTAAATTTTGCAGGGAAAGTTAAGTAACTCTTTGCTGGAAATTTTTATTTATAGGAGTACATTCAATGTTTGGATTGTATACGTGATATTATATTAGCAACGGATCTTGCTCATCACATAAGAATCATAGAAGACATTAAGAATGTTCAACAAGGTATACAATATAAATTAATGTATATTGGATGAAGGTTATGTAAGAAAATGGATAAAAACTTTTTTCTTTTAAATATCAACAGAAGGATTTGATAAAGAAAATCATCATCATCATCAATTATTACTCTGCTTGTTGGTAACATGTTCCGATTTGTCCGATCAAACTAAAGATTGGAAAAGTTCAAAAAAAATTGCAGTGAGTTATCTTTATTTATTTATTTATTTCCTCTCTCTACGACCATTCTTGTCCTCATAAAAATTCTAGTATTTATTTATTTATTTACTCGAGTTTAAAGTTTTTATTTTAATTACTTTTCTTTGTAACAAACTACGGGCAATAGTTTTAATTTTACTTATTGATTTCAGGAATTAGTATACAGCGAATTCTTTTCGCAAGGTGACCTGGAAAAAGCCATGGGTGTGCATCCTAGTGAAATGATGGACAGAGAAAAAGCTTGTATTCCAGAATTGCAAATCAGTTTTATAACAACGATCGTTCTTCCTTTATACGAGTAGGTTTATGAAACGTATCTATATAATTAATGTTATTATATCATTTATAATTATTAAAATAATTTGTCATTTACAATATTATTAAATAGAGGATTTTAAATGTTCAAGTTTTGTTTATAAAGTTAATTTTAATTAACATATCGATTGTTTTAATTAATAATTAGCTGCGTGTTTTCGAACTTTGAGTGGGTGGGCTTACGTGTATAAGGATTGGTTTGCAGTGGCGCGTTACCTTATGGGTAAAGAGGGCAATTGCCTGGAATCTTTACTAACAGGGAGCCCTAAACTAATCTTTTATAAAAAAAAAATATTCCCCTCAAAAAAATTTCCCCAAAGAAATATGTCTGAAGTCAATACTGTACATGAGGGTCCGTAATTCAAATTTGCCTGGGCATCCATGAAGCTATAACGCACCACCCGTTGGTTGTACTTTGTAGATTATTTTTTAAGAAGTTGAAGGTGGATTGGTTAGATTGGATTGGAAGAGGACGATAAATAAAGTGGTACTTATTAACTAAAATGTACATTTATTGACCTGAGTATTTACAATAATGAAATTACAAACCATTGTTAAGAGTGGGCTTTAGGAGTGATTGAAGGATCCTCACAGCAATATTTCGAGGGTGTCGAAGAATATACGTTAAACGGTATAGAACCCTTCACCTAACAAACAAACAAACATGCATTCATGCATATCTTGACTTTTATAGGAAAGCACGGCAGGTGATAAAGTTCCATTTATTATTAAAAGAATGATTTTTAAAATAAAAAAAACGTAAGTTTAGATATTAAACACGTCATTTTCTAAAAAATCTCCATATGAAAAGTACGTACAGTACAAAGTTATATTTTATGTTAAATCTTATAAAATTTCTATTTGATTTATATATATTTTCCCAAAACAAGTATATTCTATTTTAATTAGTGTATGTGTTTATCGTAAACAGATTACTGACAGCATTTTTTCCTGAAGCCGAAGAGATATCGAATGCTGTAAATACAAACAAAATCTATTGGGAAAGAATGAGAGATATTTACAAGAGGAGATACAGCAACAGTTCGTCTTCGTTAGACATGTTCGAAGACGAAACATTAGAACAAGAAGTGCTCAACGGATTTCAAGAAGCCATAGGCAAATTATTTATATAAATCATTCATTTATATTTAACGATAATTCTTTTTAATTTTAAACGATTTTTTTTTTCGTTATGCAGAGAGCAACGTAGAAGAACTAGACGAAGCTCTGTAAAACAAAATTATCAAGACGATATTTTTTTCCCCACGAAAATACGACGCATTTCAGGTATCTTGGCCAATATATGCCAGAAATTCGTACCGAAAAAGTATATTAAAATGCGAAGACTTCATTTAAACACGCAAAATTCGCGGAAGTGACCGATAAAGCAATAATACAGGAACTGTCTTTAATTAAAGCATGTACAATCGATTTATTCATAACGGAGCTACAATATACGATAATGGTATTTGTCGTATATCATTCCCTGTAAACGAAAACCATTAGTTTTTACGAGGTTGCTCAATTGTTTGCTGCCTGATCAAATTGTTCTACGAAAATAACGAAGTGTATATAGAGAATGTATAATCTTCCACGTATACATTTTACAGGATGGATCTTATTTGGTGTTTAAAAATAGTTAAAAATTTGCTACGTTTATGTAATATATTTTTCCCATTGAAGAATTTTCAAATGTGACAATTAACGAACTCCTTGTGAATCAAACTTGTTGTAACATATCTCATATTTGTACAGTAATTCAAATGTGACGTATGATTTTCATATTTATCGAGAAAAAAATCCTGATGTTTTTTGTGAATCTTCTAAAATACAGAAAAAAATTAAACATTTTTAGTAGGATATAAATCTTTTTAAATGTGAATTTTTCTAACTGTGATAAGAAAAAATATATATATATAAAATCAAGAAAATTCACAGTCAAAATCGAATCGTATCATTCAATTATGGAAAAAAAATCGTGTAAAAAATATAAATATAAATAATTCTTTCATCTAAATATATTAAATCGATGCTTTTTTATGTGAGAAAATTCATTGTTTGCCTGAAATATTCACAACATGAAGCACGAATAAGCAAAAAAAAAAAAAAATTCATTTAAAGCGGTTGTAAATCATGAACAAAAAATATATACGCGGCAATTATACTTAATGGAATAAATTAAATTCCTAAAAGTTTTATCATCATTTAGAATAAATGTTTAAACGTTTTAATTATTATATTTTTATTTATATAATTTACACTCTAAATTGGACAAAAGTTGAACATTTTCCTATAATATTAAAGAATTAAAGCAAAATGACAATCTGTTGAACTTTATAAGTAAAATGTTTATTGTCGAATGCGTGTGAAGTTATGATCAATGATTTTACTCGAATCTCATCTTTTTATTATTATTATTTTTCCTCATATTTAGTTAAAGTTTGGCTGTTGAACGTTAGAATGAAGTTCCAAACGAGCTCTGAGTAGGAAGTAATTTATATATATAAATGTCCTCATGTTTTGTGACTATATAAAATAACAGCTTAGATTTGCATATGTATAGCTATCCGAAAAAAAATAATATTTTTAAATTTAGAATTTAAAACATATATTTAAATTATATTTTATCTAATGATTCGTATAATTCATTAACTAGAATATTTTATTTAAATTATAATTATAAATGTTATGTTTCTTCAAAATTAAAATATTTATAATTTATGTGATTTAAATATATATATATA